CAAAATCTTGGAGCAGTCGACGATCCGGGTCAGAGCTCGGCGCGAAACTGTGGATCTTGCCCTAGTGGTCAGCAAGCTTCTCGGCGACTAAATCAGGATCGGCGATGGCCTGGCCAGTCGGATCCGACATGCCCGAGAGCGAGATCTCGCGGTGCCTCCTCCCCCAAGCGGACTGGTATTTGCACGGCTGCATTTTGACGTTGACTTCCTTTGCGTTAGAGATGGGCTGCTGCTCGAAATCGTTCATATGCTTCTGAATGTGCTCGCTTTTCATCTCGCTTAGGTGGGGGTGGAAGGCGCGCGCGTCGATCCACATCGCTGACTCGGGGTCGAGAAACATAGACGGGGTCGGGCATGCACGCATCACCTTGCGAACCAGCCAAAGCTGTCCGCGTAGAGTACCACGCAGAGCAGTGAGACACCGGGCAATCTTCTCGGCTAGAGATTTGTCCGCCTGCATGGCGCTCAAGTTGAGAACTTTCCTGGCCGCGCGGACGATGATATCTCTGAACTGCGCGCGCCGCTCAAGCGGGTCGGAGTCAAACGGGCCAATTGCCTGCAAGAGATCATCGACTGCAGCTGGATAAGCAGAATGACGAGTCACCCAATCCGGCACTCTGAACCCAACCTTGGCCCCGGACGCGAGGGCAAGACAAACAAGTGCATGGTCCGGAAGACGGCCGACTTTGACCATGGGCTCGAGGGCAAGGGATCTGGGGTGGTACTCGATGAGAACAGAACTGAACATGTTGGTGTAGATACGATCGATGCGACCGAAGCTGACAATCACCCAGACACCGTTTTCTTCACGCGTGACCCGACGCGCGAACGATGGCTGATCAACCTCGCAGAGGTCTCCAAACGTGCGGAAGAAAAAAGACGAGACGTCGTTCGACGAGAAATAAATGCTGCCATCGGTGCGAAAGCTGCCTTCGCCTTCAGCGGGAAAGCTGAAATCGCCCAATGCAAAACTGGCGGCCGCCGAGGGCGGCGGGAGAGCGCGACGCTAGAGGGAGAGCTGACGTTTTTTGGTCGGCAAGGGGAAGACATGGATCGAGATGGACGTTCGCTAACTGCAGCGATCCGCGAGCACCGCCGAGGGTGATCGCGTGAATGTTGCCTGGCACCAGCTCTATGCATCTGCAATAGCTGCAGAGCGGGCGGAGGCTAGGACGCAGAAAAATATATGCACCTCCAACGGACCTATTTTGGAAGAAAGACCCAATACCCCAAGAGTCATGCACTTCGGACGCGAGCCTCTGGAGATCCAAATAAGAGCCACGAGCCTCTTGAATGCAAACCACCTTGAACTTTTGGCGATAGGATATTAAGCATGAAACTCTGCGGTTGGTGATCTCCAAGGACGAGGTGAGGCCTCCGAAGAGCGACCGAGCGTTCTAAGAAACCATACTCAAATGTTCCTTCCAGATAAACGGATAGCGCGTCCAACCCCCAGGAAACTGAGAGAGAACAGAAGATGAAACTATCTGTATAAAAAAGACGACCCAGAAGAGGGCGGCAGACGGGGCCCACCCGAAGACGTCGCACCAGAAAAGAAGACGAGGACCCAGAGGAACCCGAAGAAGAGGCCGAGGAACTAGAAGAAGAGCTCACAAAGACCACAGAGCCCCTTGAATAATCATGCGGCATCCCCATACCTGTTCGGCTCGGCTGAGACGCCGATGCACTCGGTGGAAATGCCCCATGCGGCTTAGCGGCTGCAAGCATAGCAGCGGCCTGGTCCTGCAAGATGCCGAAGTGAGCGATGCCGTCGGAGTTGGCGACGAGATCGTAGCTGTTGTTGTTGGAGTCGTGCCTGGCGACGGTGAAGATCTCATAGATGACGCCCGACACTGAGCAGAGCAGGATGCCACGGAAACCGTTGACCCCCAGCTTGTGCGCGCGATCATCCCATCGGCTTGTCTGCCTCAAGTGCGCGTTCACCTGCTGCCATATCTGTCCGAGAATTCGATTATTCTGGCGGACGCTGGACGGTGCATCTCTGCGGCATCGAAGCTTAAGCTGTGCGTTGCTGCGGGCATCATTCCACAAGGGTGAGTGGGCGCGAGCGTGATCGAGGAATGAGGCGGCATCGGCATTGTTGGTGAGCGTGATCGAGTAGGACTTCGCTAGATTCTGGCCCTTGGCATCAATGCCACTCTGCCGAATGCGAGACGGAAGATTGGCAACTAGTTCACGACCATGAGCTTCGAGCGAGGTCTTCAACATCGGGCGAGCGATACCACCAATCCAAACCTTCAGCGGAAAGCGATCGTCCTCCCCATGCGTAGAACCCGCGTATGAGGAGGGTGGCTGCGACAACCGACGGCGCGAAGTGGGTGGGCCTGATGCGATTGACGGAGAAGACGTGCTGCTTGGAGACCGAGACCCGATCGCGACCATGCGGGACCCGAGCTGCGTGCGCAACACCGCGTAGGCAGCGTCGCCACCCGAGGACTGCATGTTCGTCTTGAGGGTCGTGAGCCTGCTGTTGATGGTGACGAGCGACGCATCGTGGTTCTCGATGGTCTGCTTCAGCGGGTCGAACGAGCCGATGGAGGACTCGACTGCGGTGAGGCGGGCTGTGACCGTCGTGAGGGAGGCGAGGATGTCGCGAATGCCCTGCTCCACGGCAAAGGCGGCGGCCATGGCGAGAGAGGAAGGGGGCAACTGGAGGTGTCCGCCCGAGCTTGACGCCCGCGATGGCTCCGAACTGGAGCTGCCCACTCAAAGTCGCGGATTGCCCTGCAGCCTTGAGCCAAAATGGCAACGGAGGAGGACGAGGAGGAGGAGGAGGAGGAAGAGGGAAGGACGAGAGAGGAGGGAGGAGAGGAGCCCAGATCGGATCGGAAACGCTGGGGACGGTCTCAGCGGAGGACGAGGGGAAGAGGAGGAGAAGGAGGACCAGAAAAAACCCAAGATGCACCAACGGCGCTGAAATACACACTCCCGTCCCAAGTCCCCTCCACACAAGTTCCTATAGTCATTCTGCTTCTTCGCTCCAAGAAGCCCCCCCTCGAAACACCCGCAACCGATGGGCCCGTCATTCAGGCAAGAGCCACGTTTAGAGAAGGAATTCATTTGCCTCAGATTAGCAACTATTACGTGGCGTGACAAGGTATGATCTCAACAGCTCATCAACGTGTAACTGTTGCACACGTTCACTATTGTTGCTATGACCTTCGAGAGTGTCTCAAGCGAGAGCCCGATTCTGAAGGATCTGCCATCCATCCACACACCTGTTACCAATGTTCGAGCTTCTGGTCTTGTCATTTGAAGGCTGTGCCAGCAAAACACATGTTTGAAAACGCCCCGTCCTCCGTCCCAGTAACTGATGCAAACTTCTCATACGAACGTGCGCGGCTCCAGGGCGAGATCCCCAACGGTTCGCTCTCCATTCTCGAAACGGTGACAACCTTTGATGGCGAAAGTGCATAGCGCCAAGGTGAGTGATCCAGTTTAAAGAAGAGCCGCCCTCCATCCCTGAAGCTCTTGCTTTCTTGTTTGGCACGACCGTCGGCGTCGCGACGGGGAGAGCTCCATGTTTTTCGTTTGATAGCGGACAACATGAACGGACTCGGTGCGCGGGCGAGTTTCGCCACTGCTTACGAGAACGCTCTCCCAACAAAATGTGGCTGTTTTCCCGCCGACGGAGGTGCAGAGAAGCGGAGGAGGAGGAGGACAAGGAGAAAGAAGGTGTTGGCGTTGCGCGTGCATCTCCCATGGCCCATCCGACCATTCATAGATAAGACAGCGCGGCACAGCGACGTTCAAAGAGCAGTGAGACAGCGCATGTCAACTAAGATCGCGTGCAAGGTACAAATGATGGCAAAAGCGCCCGGAATTCTATATCACGCTGGCAGGTTCCTGTCATGCCCAGCGCTGCCCCGCGTGCGCAGGCACCTTCAAGCCAGAAGGGTGCGATCTATTTTTGCCCGCGCCACACCCGCAGGCTTGTCCTCCCCTCGCCTCCTCTAGTTGCCCCCGACGGCGAGAGCTCCAATTTGAAGAGAAACCGCCCTCCGAGCTGGCGCAAGCGCTCAACACGAGTGTGGGCGAAGCGCCAACGAGAGCCCCCTTTTGGGGGATTGAACCGCCCTCCATCTCTGAGACCCAAGCTTTTAGAACAAATGTGCGCGACGCTGAAGCAAGTGTCACATGTTTGAAAAGGAGCCGCCCTCCATCTCTGAAAGTGCCGCAACCATGTTAAGACACTTGTGCGCGGCTCTGAACCCATAGCCAAACTTTCGAAAAGGAACCACTCTCCGTGGTTGAAACAGTTGGAGCTTCTGAAAACAAAGGAGGGTGGCGATGAGGCGAGTGCCCTATGAAGAACACGGTCCATCCTTGAAACTGCGGCAATGTGTTAAGACGAACGTGCGCAAAGCTAAGGCGAGAGCCCCAGTTTGACGACGAGCCGCCCTCCATCCTTGAAACTGCTGCAGTTTTGAATTCTTGAGCAACTACTGTGCGCGGCGCTACGGCGAGAGCTCCTTTTTGAAAAAGACCCCCCTCCACGCTTGGAATTGTTACAGCTTTCGAGCTTCAGGATCATAAGTGGTTTGGAGGTCTCAGGCGAAGCGCCCAACCCGCCCTACCAACATGCCTCAGAGTGCGATGGGGAGGAGCTACCTGGAAGGAAAACGGATGGCTAAAGGAAGAGGGACGAGGCCGGAGTACTGAAGGGAGGCGGACGCGGGCGACAAGGAGAAGGAGCAGGGGGAGGAGGAGGAGGAGGAGGAGGAGGAGGAGGAGGAGGAGGAGGACGACGACGACGACAGGGAGGAGAGCGCAGAAATGAGAACGAGGAGGACAACGACGACGCTCTATTCCTACCAATACGATACCAGCGTTGTTGCCAGCATGCGCAGTGCATCTTTTTCCGACACAGACAATAAGCTGTGTGCTCGACACGTCAGTAGACTGTCGAGCTACTGTGCAGCCTGTGGGACGAGAGGGGGGGGGGGTCAGCAGCAGCAAGAGGACGCCGAGCCCAAGGCCCTCCTGGGGCTGCGCGATCGCGGCCTGCATGGCCAGACACTTGCCAGAGATCGCCTTGCCGGGGATGTGCACGGGCATCGCGGCCGCCAGGTGCACCTCGAGCGCCAATTCCTCCTTCACCTCCTCCTCCGCCTCCTCCTCCGCCTCCTCCTCTTCTTCCTCCTCGTGCTTCTATTCCTGCCGTTCCTCGTCCTCGTCGGCGTTCTCCTCATTTTCCCTGCCCTCGTCGTCACGGTCCTCGTCGTCGTCCTGGTCCTTGCCCTGGTCATCATCCTCGTGCTCGTCGTTCTCCCCGTCGTTCTTCTCCAAGTTGTCCTCCTCATGCCGGGAGCAAGCCAAGATAGGCCAGCTGACTTGCGAGCTGAAAGCAAGCTGCCAGAAAAGCGGGAGGCAAGGAAAAAGTGGCCAGGCAACTCTCTAGCACTAGAACCACGGGCACGCTTCGCGCTCAGGTTCTAGCACAGGAAAACGCAACGTCACAACACAATGGGTGCATGAACGAAATTCCGCAATGACCATGTGGCAGAAGGATATCGGCACACCTGCAGCAAGATGAAGTTCTGGAGCTCGAGCCCACATATTCAGTGGGGACGATGAAGAAAGCGATGACGAGGATGCGGCAGGGAGATGTGTGCGGAGGTGATTATGGAAGAGCCCGCAAGGACGCTGGACATTCCACCAGTGCCCCGCGAACCGTCGGGCCGAAGTCGAACAAGCCCTTGTCCTCCTCCCCGCCGCCAATTTCGGCACACCCATCACACGCTTCGGCCCCACAGGGAAGCTCCACCGAGGACCCCAGTGGCAGCGTTCGCGTTATTCCCCCCGCCCATTTCGGCGCACCCCTCACACGCTTGTGGCCCCATAGTGAGCTCCACCGAAGACGATGCGAACAACTTCGTTGCTCACAACTGCATATCGTTGGGTTCTTCGCCAGGCTAATTTCGCGCCTCGGGTGGCCTATACCATGGCTTCTCGTGGTCTGTTTTCCAGTCTTGTGGGGCCTGCCGACCAGTCTTGAAGGATTCTGGCTATTCGAGACGCGGGGGGGGGGGCGCTTGAGGGCTGCTGTTGGGCTGTCTTCGGGCTACCTTGAGTCAGTTTGCACTCCACCGAAGTCCTCCTGACCCGTCCTGGGGTCTTTGCGGGCCTCTTGATATATCCTATTGGGCATCCCTGGAGCTCCCCGAAGCTGAATTGAAGTCATGTTTGAGCCAAGGAGGCGAGACACCCTCGCATGTTGAAAATCCCAAGGGGGGGTGGTTACGTTGGCTGACTGGGACCGCATATGGGGCCCACCTCGCGGCGCCGCTCGTGTGCTTCGTCCAGCCTGCCGAGGCCTGCTGAGCAATGTCGGAACATGTTGATGGCTCGGGACCCTGTAGGGCCCATCGGGCGCTCTCCTGCAATCCCGGGGGCCAGCTTGGGGTGTCCAAGGGGCCGCCAGGGGCTCCTGCGGGGCTCCTATGGGGCAAGCATCTCATCTTGGCACCTCCCTCGTGCTGCATCCAGCCAGGCGCATGTCGGCCGCTGTCGGAGCGCGTGGAGTGGTCGGGACAGCAATGCCGCCTGGGCGCTCCCCTGGCTCCTCTCGGGCTGGCTTGGGATGCCCCACGGGCCTCTTTGGTGCCTTTGGGGAGCCTCGGGGGGCTGTCCTGCAGCTCCTGTGGGCCGTCCTTGGGGGCGCTGGGGGCCACCCGGGGGGCCGCGGCGCCTCTGAAGCCGCCACGGGGCGCACTCGGCCGCTTGGGCCTGGGGGATCCCTAGGGCCGCCCCGCGGCCTCCTCCAGAGGCTCCTGTGGGTCGCGCTGGCGTCACACTGGCGGCGATCGTTTCTGATCGCGGCGGCGGCGACTCCTCCTCCTCCTCCTCCTCCTCCTCCTCCTCCTCCTCCTCCTCCTCCTCCTCCTCTCCCTCCTCCTCCTCCTCCTCCTCCTCCTCCTCCTCCTCCTCCTCCTCCTCCTCCTCCTCCTCCTCCTCCTCCTCCTCCCTCCTCCTCCTCCTCCTCCCTCCTCCTCCTCCTCCTCCTCCTCCTCCTCCTCCTCCTCCTCCTCCTCCTCCTCCTCCTCCTCCTCCTCCTCCTCCTCCTCCTCCTCCTCCTCCTCCTCCTCCTCCCTCCTCCTCCTCCTCCTCCTCCTCCTCCTCCTCCTCCTCCTCCTCCTCCTCCTCCTCCTCCTCCTCCTCCTCCTCCTCCTCCTCCTCCTCTCCTCCTCCTCCTCCTCCTCCTCCTCCTCCCTCCTCCTCTCCTTGAGGTGCCCCCGAAGCAGGCCCTCCGGAGATAGCCTGCTCCCGTCGACCCGCTGCCGGCCCTTGCAGGGCCTCCAGAGCCAGGGCGAAAAATGTCGGCTGCTGCACGGGCACCCCCCGAAGACACGGCGCAGACGTCGTGCACGGTGCCCGAGCGCTTCTTAGGGGGCCACATTTGAACCCTACCCCCTACACCCCACGATTTCTGAGGGGGAGGATGGGGTCCACTTCGCTCGGGAGCTCCCGAGCGAGGTGGACCCCACCCTCCCCCTTCAGAAATCGTGGGGGGTGGGGGGTAGGGTTCTAATGTGGTCTCCCACTGCTGCTGACAGTGCGACACGGGCCCCGAGAAGGAGGGGAGGTTACGGCAACGATGGGCAGCAAAGAGCAAGATGATGCTGGTGCTCGGGAAAGCTGTCTTGATACAGAATGCACGGAGCAGGTCTCGACGGCACTGCCTTGAAACAAAAAGCACACGCTGTCACGCCGGCTGGCGGAGCACGTCCGAGAGGAACGAGGAAATGACAGATGACGGAGAAGGCAGGATGCATGAGGATGGGTGAGGATCAAGAACTCTGGGGCCAGGTTCGAGGGGGCAGGTTTGAGAGAGGACAGAAGGAGGAGAATGAGGCCATGCTGAGGCCGTCTGCGGGCTCCCTTGGGGGCCATGGGGCTCGTGGGGCTCTTGGGGCCTTGTGGGGCCATCTTGGTATCCGTTGGGGGGTTTGGGCCGGGGCGTGTTTGTCCGTCTTGGGACGTGGCGGTGTCTTGAGAGCCGCCAGGAAGGTTCGGGGGCCATCTGGAAGGCCGAGCCGTCAAGGCGGGAGGCGCCACAGGGGCGGTCTTGCGCGCCCTCTCGGCAGCCTCTGGGGCCCACGCCCAGCCATTCCGAGACCGCACGGAGAGGAGTCACCAACGCATGCGAGAGCTCGAAGGAAAGAAGGCGCTCCGATGAGCCATCGTGGATCATCTTGGAGCCTCGTCATAAAGAGTGGGACGGTCCTGGAGCGTCTGGGCTCGCCGAAACCGCTCTTTCAACCATCCTGGATCTCTCTTTGAATGCCTCGGAACGCTTGGGCCCCAGTTCGGCCGCAATGGGGCTATCTGCGGGCCTGCTGGAATGCGACCCCGCATCCCTGGACACTGGTGTCCCCCCCATAGTGGTTGCAGGTTGGGCCCTTCTGGGGCTCCCTGTGGGCCCTTTCGAGTAAGTCGAGGCTGGCTTGGGGCACTTAGGAACGCTACGCGGCTCCTCCCAAGTCCTTCTGGTACCACCCAGAGCCGAAAGGTCAGCAACCAAACAAGCACACAAAACATTGTAGAACCACTTGGGCCAAGAGAGATCGAAATGCAATATTCCAAGAAGTCGAAAGGAAGGCCTGAAGGTAAACACGCCAAATCCAGTTAAAATAAGGCCAGAGGCATGCGGAAGGCGAGCATGACGCGAGCTCAAAGCTGCCAGACGCAAGCCCAAGACAAGCTGAACGCAAGGTACATGTTTTGATGTGCTGTTTGGCTGCTCCCGTGTCTCTTTGGTTGACGCCATGAAGCATCCCATCGACTCCTTACCGTGTCCGCGCAGCGGAGAAGGAGAAGGTTGCTCTCCGGGAGTGCGAAGGCGGCCAGAGCGCGTCGACGATCCCCGCAATCGGAGACGTCTGCCCGTGCCTCGCCAACGCAAACAGAATGCATACTCAAAATGTCCTCCTCCTCCTCCTCCTCCTCCTCCTCCTCCTCCTCCTCCTCCAGAGGATGCCACGGACCACTCCTCACCCCACCCCGCCACGTTTCGCTGGACAGGCGGGCGCGCGGCGTCACGCCCGAGAGCTTGCCGCGGCCGCGGCCGACTAAGACTAGCCCGGGAGCCCCCAAGCAGCTATTCTTCGCTCCCCGCACTCACCACCACCCGCCCCTTGAGCACAAATGCAGGATCAGCTGCAGCTGGTTACACTACCATCATGCTCAACAGCTCGTGACCACAAGCTGGTAGGTCGAGCGTTCGCCGAAGCATCCAGCCCCCTCTGATGGTCTTTGGAAAGAGGCAGAGAATAGTAGATGCGGCCTCGACTTCATAAAGGAAAAGAAACTGTAATTAGTGTGAAGAGCACCGCTCGAGGTCGTGATTGCCACGGAGCTGCGCACTCGTGGCGCTAGCTGCAACGTTGTCTGGCAATGCCCAACCAAGAATGTGTACACGACGTTGGCGAGTCGAGCCTGCCCCAACTCAAACCAGAGCCCATCCTGAACACAAAGTGGTCCTTACTTCAGAGTCTTCTCTGCCGTTAGGATCAGGAAATATGGGCGCAGACACAGTGCCCGCCAAGTCGGGGTGTCGCGCAAACGTGCGCCGAGTCGGCGACGACTCTTCGATTCCGCCATCTTCCACGCTCCACAGCTCCACAGAGAGCCGAGAGGGTCCAAGACCTGGTCATCAAGGCTGCTTTTGAAACTAGAACTGCTACATTGCACCTAAAACCATCTGACGGCCTCTAACAAGAGGCAGAGAATGGCGGATGCCGTGCGGATCTTACGAAGACAAGGAAACTCCGAATGTGAAGGATACGGTTCGAGATCGTGATTGCGACGGAGCTTCGCACTCGTGACGCTAGCTGCAACGCCTGGCAATGCACACAAACAAACGCCTGATGTAGACGCCGTTGACAAGGCGAGGCCTCCCCCACATCTGCTGCGTGATGGTCGGCTGGGACACCACTCGAGGTCTTGACTGAGACGGAGCTGGGCACTTGTGTCGACAGCTGCGACGTCCTCTGGTCGTGCCCAACAGAAACTGTGCACAAGAAGTTGGCGTGTCGAGCCCCTCTCCCCCACGAGGTCAAGAGAGCTGATGTTTTAGCTCGATTGCCACATGGCCGAACCACCTCTGCTGATACAGCGCGCTATCTGCACTCGTGACTGTGCACAGTCGTGCTCATGGTTGCACAGGCTGGACATGATGCACATGATGCACTACAGCGCGGCGCGAACAAAAACGCGCAGTTGTTGTTAATTCGCCACCGTGCCGTAGGCACTGCATGGAATGTGCTGAATGCTGTAAACGCTCAGTAAGGGGCCCAGACCCCACGTTTCACGGCCAGCCCAGAAACTCCTCGCTCCTGGGCACTCCTGGTCGCCCTTCTGATTCGCCGCTTGGCCTTTTCCGAAGCCCTCGAAACGCTTTGGGGGCCCAACTTCTTACGTGCCATAAGATGGTCCCTGGGGCCCGAGTTGGAGCCGTCTTGAGGGTCTCTTGAGCCTCCTTGAAAGCCCTGGGGGCTGGTCCAAGAAGCCAAGCTCATTGAACAGCACGCGGCTACTCGGTCTTGAGGGCGTCAAGAGAAGCCATAAAAATACCTCAGCCTTCTACTCCACTTCCTCCGTATCCTCCTCTCTTCGGTATCCTCTTTCTCCTTCATCTCTTCATCCTCCTCCTCCTCCTCCTCCTCGTCACCCTCCACCTTATTATCATCATCATCATCCTCTCTCAGGTGTTCTCCTAAGAGTTTCCACAACGGCTGGGGAGAAAACATAGTCCAGTAGCTTGGCCAAAATGTGACGTAGGTTTGGCCACACGGGCATTTCCGAAAGGCAGGGGGCGGCGGTGGTTCGCCGCAAGCAACTTCGATCATGAGTGCGACGGCCCACAGAAGTGACTGCACAGGTGCGCAGCGCATGATTGGAAAACAACCTTCGCCTGCCCAACTGCCGCGCCGGGACCAGCGCGTGCACCTCCTGGGCGGGGCTGCAGCTGCTGGTCGGTCGGACAGAAAAAAACGCCCAGGGCCCTCCGCCGAGAGAGCGGGCTGATGCTCGAAAGGAGCACCGATAATGCCTCTCATAGCCAAGGTCAATGACAAGCCGACGTAGAGGACCCATCAGCGTGTTTAGGTTTAGAGGCCTCCCAGATAGGGTCGGAGTAGATCGGGTCGGAGGATCGCGCCGCATCGTCCGTGCATCGGCGACAGCGGCGACGAGCAAATCGGGCCCCACATCGAGACGCATCGTCGATGCATCGCCGATGCGGCGCGATCCTCCGACACCATCTGCTCCGATCCCATCTGGGAGGCCTCGATGCCGCTGCAGAAGCGCCCAGGCCTTCGGACACAAACCAGGGGGCAACACGCCGACGGACTCCCAACGGCGGCATGCCACTTGCGGTGGGGGCATTGGGTAAGGAACCCTTCGATCAGGAATCCAGGGTCTGGAGGCCGGTGGGACCCCTATCGAGGCATGGCCGCGGACACATCACCGCCGCCTCCACCGTAGAGAAGGAACCCTCCGGGGCCTGAGAGAAGCCCCCTGGGCACGTTCCGGAACGAACGCCCCCACCGCCCACGCCTTCCCAGACATGCGGCGTCCTGATTTTTTCCAGGACGGCCTCCCTGGAAGTCCAGACCCTTTCCCCGGGGCCGGTTTCTCGTCCTGCCTCGCTTTCTGACGGCCCCGAGGCCCCGCGAGGGCCCCCCGGGGCCGAAAATAGCGAAAAACCTCCCGCCCTGATTTTTTTACGACGCCATCCCAGACCCCCGACGTAATGACTTTTTCATTACGTCGACCCCCAGAGGTCCCGACCCTTCCCCCATGACCAGCTTCGCATCCTGAGCCGTTTTTTGACGCTCCCGAGGCCCGGTGAGGGCCCTCGGAGGCCGAAAATTAGGAAAAAAAACCGCCCTGATTTTTGTTACGACGCCGTCCTGTCGGGGTGTTGCCCCCCGCCGACCTCCTCCTCCCTCCTCCTCCTCCTCCTCCTCCCTCCTCCTCCTCCTCCTCCTCCTCCTCCTCCTCCTCCTCCTCCTCCTCCTCCTCCTCCTCCTCCTCCTCCTGGGTTATTGCCCCCCGCCGACCCTCACGGAGCCCCCACGGCTCCCGGCAGGCCCGCGGCGCCGGCGCCCCCCGGCGCCGCGCGCGGCGGCGCGGGCGCCGGCGACGCGCAGCGGGCGCTGGCCTGGAGCGAGGCCCGGCCCGGGGCCCGCGCGCCGACCTCGGCCGCCGCGGCGAGCTCCCGGAGGAGGGAGGACCCAGACATGATGGCGTCGTAAAAAAATCAGGACGGGAGGTTTTTCGCTAGTTTCGGCCCCAGGGGGCCCTCGCCGGGCCTCGGGGCCGTCAGAAAACGAGGCAGGGCGAAAAACCGGCCCCGGGGAAAGGGTCGGGACTTCTGGGGGCGCCGTCCTGAAAAAATCAGGACGTCGCATGTCTGGGGACACGCCGGGCAGCGGCTGGCCGAAGAAGGTGTCGAGGGAGCAGGAGCACGTCGGGGAGGACCTCGAGCGCCCCCTCGCCTTGGGGCTCTCGCACGAGCGCGCGGAGACCACGGTGTTCACGCGCTGGATCGGGGCCCGGAACACGCGGATGGGCCGGGGCGGGCCGAGGCGCGCGTGGAGCTCCTCCGACGGCAGGCTCTGGCACCGCACGAGCGCCGCTCCAGCGCAGGCGATCAGGACGGCAAAGCTGGCACCACACAGCACGTAGGTCAGGACGGTCTCGACATCACCGCTTCCCGCGCTCGACGTGTCCAGCGCCGCGTTGCTGACAGCGTTCGCTCCTGTGGTGCTGCCTCTGCTGGAGGCTACCGTGGTGGTGGTACTGGCGTGCGTTGCGCTGACTGAGCTCGCTGTGTTTATGGGTGCTGAAGTGGTCGACGTCGTGGGAGGCACCGTGGCCGTGGCGTGGGAGGACGTCGTGGTATGGATCGTCGTCGTCGTCGTCGCATCTGAAACTGCTGTCAACGTCATTGACGCCGTCACTGTCGCTTCTCCCGTGAAGATCGTCACCGTGGTTGTTGTCGCTGTCACTGTTGACCGTGTGGTCGTCAAAGACGTGAGCGTGGGCTCTGGGGTCAGAGCGAGCTGGAAGGCCTGCTGGATGGTATCCAGCTTGGCCTGGGTCAGCGAAACTCCTCCCAACGAAGCGTCTGCGTCCTTGTTCAACGTAAGCTTGCTCAACAGCGTTCCCGGAGTCCACGACTGAAAAAAGGCACTCACCAGCGCGTTCGCTTCGCTTGCGTCGTCTGGCAGCAGCAGAAACGTATACTCCAACATACCCGGCCCCTGAAGGGTCGTCTCGAACAGGAGCCCCGGGAGGCCGGACATCTGCATGACCATATCCGTCAGGTGGCCGGTCAAAGAGGACGCCTGGGAGGCGGAGAAGGTGCCCGTGACGGAGATCATTCCCCTGACGACCGACTCGATGGCCACGCCGGTGGTGTCGTGCCACGCGACGTCCTGGAACGAACGAACGAGCGAACGACCACCGCTGCGGACAAGCGTCCGCTCTTAGCCCAGACATGTACAAACTTAGGATGAGAGGCGGAGGAGGATGAGGACTAGCGTAAACCCAAACCGCATCAACTATGTTGCAATGACCCCATCCTCCAAGTTCCCTCTTCGTGGGTCAGAACAAGAAAATACTTAACTTACGGGAAGTGCCCCAATGGAAGACAACCGTCGGAAACTCCACTATCGCACCAAAACACAATTCCTGGGACTTCCAACGCCGCGAATCAACGTGACTGTTGCGTCCTGACGGTCCCAGATCGTACCAGAAGCCATTCCTGGGACTTGAGCACCACAAAGCAACGTGACTGTTGCGTCCTGATAACCCTAAATCGTGCCAGAACACGATTTGTGGGAGTCAGCCATACGAACCGTTGAAATTGCTGCAAACTTTCAAAGCGAATCTGCGCGACGCTCACGCGAGAGCCACAGTTTGAAAACGATTCGCCCTCCATCCTTGAATCCGCTGCAAGCTTATAAAGCGAGTGAGCGCGGCGCGAAGGCGAGAGCCGCGAGTGTGCGCGGCACGAAGGCGAGAGCCACATCTTGAAAACGACCCGCCCTCCATCTATGAAACTGCTGGAACCTCTAAGAACGAATGAGAGCGGCGCTAGGGCTAGAGCCACATGTTAAAAAAAGACCTGTCCTCCATCCTTGAAGCTGTTGCAAATTCCCAGATTCGGAAGGGTGAAGGAAACGCCCGACCCGCCATGCCGACACGTCTAAGGGTGCGACAGGTGGGAGTTACTTATAAGGAGTAGGTATGCGGAAAGAGGAGGAGGACCAGTGCAAACTCGAGACTAAACATCAATGTTGGAATACAACTTCCCTCCAAGCTCCCTCTTCATAGGCCCCTACACGAGTTCATCTCCACTGCGGCAAGTGCCCCGTAGGGACACATTTTTCAAGAGTCTAATGCCACGAGCCAATCTAAATAGCACGTCTTGGAGATCCATAATCGTGCCAGAACACCGTTCCTGGAACTTCAATACCGCGAATCAGCGTCATTGTTGCGCCCTGACAGTCCTGAACCGTTCCACATCAATCATTCTGGCACGTTAACTACGAGAATCGATGAAACTCGTCCGATTGCTTGAAAAAGAATGTGCGCGGCACTACGGCGAGAACCACATGTTGAAAACGAATCGCCCTTAATCCGTGAACCTCTCGCAATGTGTTGTAACGAAATTGCGCGGCGCTAGCGCGAGAACCACAGTCTGAATACCACCCGCCCTCAATCCGCGAAACTCCTGGACATGTTTAAAAACAAGTGTGCGCGGCGCGAAGGCGAGAACCACATGTTGAAAACCGCCCGCCCTCAATCCATGAAGCTCTTGCAAACAGTTTAAACGGGTGCGCGCGGCGCTAAGGCGAAAGCCACATTTTGAAAACGGCCCGCCACTAATCTGTCAACGGTTGCGAATTTCTATGCTTCAAGATTCCGAATGGTGAGGAAATCTCAGGCGAAACGCCCGGCCCGCCCTTTCGACGAAACCTCGGGGTGCGACAGGAGATAGTTAGTGAGAAGGAAAAGTAGTGGAGGAGGAGGAGGAGGAGCGATCTGGGGGCTCTGATAAGACAACGGGTCTTTCCGCCCTTGGACGCAGCCCGATTGGGCTCAGCCATTCGCCGACACGGTGGCCGAAGGGCTTCAAGACCCCCAGCCGCGGCCAGGAGGAGGAGGACGAGGAGGATGAGGAGGAGAATGGGGGGAGGAGAAAGAGGAGGAGGATGATGATGATGAGGAGGAGGAGGAGGAGGAAGAGGAGGAGGAGGAGGAGGAGGGATCTGAGGGCTCTGATGAGACGACGGTTCTTTCCGCCCGGGGACGCAGCCCGATTGGGCTCAGCCGTTCGCCGCCAAGGTGGCCGAAGGGTTTCAAGGCCACTGGCCGCAGCCAAAAGGAGGAAGGGAAGGAGAAGGAGGAGGAGCAGGAGGAGGAAGGGGGAGGAGGAGGAGGAGGAAAACAATAAGAAAAGGGGGATGATGATGCGAATGATGCTGATGATGTCGATGATGCTGCTGATGATGATGATGTTGGTGCTGATGATGATGGTGATGATAAGTATTATGACGATTATGACGATGACGATGGTGATGACGATGATGGTGATACCGATGACGATGATGACGATGATGACCATGATGACGGCAAGGATGCTGATGGTGATGATGATGAGGATGATGGTGACGATGCTGATGATGCTGCTGATGACGACGGTGATGATCTGGACTCACGTTGAAGACAAGGGACGAGACGAGGGCAAGCGGGCAACAGGCGAGAAGAGGGCAAACGCAAAGAGGGCTAGCGGACAAGAAGCGAGACGAGGGCAAAAAGTCCGTCCCTGGGCGGCAAGCTATGGTCGAAGACAGGCAACCCCAACTCCGCTCCTGGGAAGAGGCTCAAACGGGCACAGCCAGGACAAAATATTGGGAACAGGAGGCGCACAGTGAGCACTACGACCACTATAACACGAGCTAGACAGCGGCAGTGAACAGGGGCGATCGGAATATTCGAGATGACAGAGACAAAACACCGTCGACGGCGCACCAGCTGACGTGCACGAGCATGCATAAGATGGAGGAAAAGGACAGGGCAGTAAGATTCAGGCGCACGCATTCTATGATACATTGAGTGTGCGAGCTCGATACCAATGACGATACTACTGAGCTCCTCGGGGGTTCCCCAGTCGAAGAGGTACGGCAAGAATCGCTTCCTAGGATCACCGAAGAAATAGGAGACAGGAATACAGGGCAGCAGATGAGACAGTACATTGACAAAGAGCGGGCAGGAACAATAGCGGGGGATGGCATCACAAGCGCTGGCCTTGTATCCAGATCGGCATATCTCCAGCGGCAGACGATATCGGGCAGCGCTGGCACAATTACAGACAGTTTTGGAAACACTGGCGAGCACGAAGCGTGGCATCTGAGAAGCTGAACATCACCGTCAAGTCTTGTCGATCCATGCGTCGGTCCTTCACCCAATACTCCATTCTCGGATGCAGATACAAGGGCACAGGGCCTTCACGCCTTTAAAAATCTGTGAGCCAAGGGTCCTCTGGAATACGAGGGATACAGCTCATCATCCTCCAGTTATCATGTAATTGGTAGAACATGCTATTCGTGGACATGGGATTGTACTCGTGAGCAACCAACCAATTACTGTCGCCCACAAATGCATAGCATTCATCAACGAGCCGTTGAAATATACCTGAACGCCGAACCAGTCGATACTGAGCAGCCGCAGCATAGCGAGCAAGACCAACAGCTTGCACAGGAAACCCAATCTCTTTTAAACGATAAAGAAGATCAGGATGCAGAAAGTGGCGCGGCCAGCCAATCACCGCTTGGAGCCCTTCACGTTGACAACGTCGCACAGCAGCTGCAGGCGCGAAGACTTGCGCGATGTACGTGAGGGCGCTCATCGCCAGAACATTGTAGCTGATCAAAGTCTGAGTGAAGCCCACATTCAAGTTACGACAAAAAGATAATCGACGGCAGTACTTTTCAAGCGACAACGCCCACGATTCAACGAAATCGTCCAATCCAATACGCATGCCAAGATATGCGCCCATATCGAGAAACTTGAAATTGGTGGCGCTCAGGCCAGCGCGTTTGAGACGCTCCAAGATCTGGGGTCGATCGCGAGGAAAGTAGAATATGATCAAAGTGTTCAGCGTATTGATCCAAAGGCCAGTCGCATACCCACAAGGAATCAATAGCCGAAAAAAGCGCACGGAGTGTGCGATACATGTCCCTCGATACATGAGCCAAATCGTCTGCGAAGCAATTGATGAACGAGAACGACCGAGAAAGACGAAAACCCATCCGACGAACCACGGGATCTAGCGCAAGAACGAAAATCGATCCCGACATCGGGCAGCCCTGCTTAACCCCAGAAAGGACGACGAACCCCGTGAAGGCAGGCCCAGAACATACAACACAAGTGCGGGTATTCTTGTACAGCGAACGGATACTATGGGTAACAGATGCAAGCAATCCCATAACCGTGAGCACCCAGAAGATCCAGGGGTGGGCAAGGCTGGGGAACGCCGTTTTGAAGTCCACCAAGGTGGCCCCACAATCACGATTGCCCTCAACATCTCCCCACGACGTGAGAGACGACGATACCTCCAAGATATTGCCAGCCATCTGCCTGCCCTTCACGAACCCCGTCTGAGCCCAATACGCCGTGCACTGCGCCTGGCGTGCTAGACCCGAACCGATGGCATGCGAAATCAACTTGTTCGAAGTGCTCGATAACGAGAGCGGCCGAGTGGTGGCAGGTGTGCGCGCATTAGCCATAGCTTCACTAGGGAGAATAGTCCGAGGCAGAAACATCATGCAGCAATGGTTGAAATCCTCCGGCAACTCCTCTCCCCCCAGAACACACTGATAAACATCATAGAGAATCTGACTAGCCCCATCTCGCCCATAGTGATAGCACGAGAACGGAATGCCATCAGGACCATGGGCAAGACCGATCAATGTTCCAAGCATTGCACGAAACGAGCCAGGGAGATCTGCCAGCGAACGTCTTTAGAAGCGGCCTGCACGAAAGGACGATCGAGCTCGCACTCCTTCTCCCTCACTTCCTTAGCCTCATGCACCTTCCCCAAGTACGAAGCGAGCATAGCAGCGCCCGAAGCTTTATCAGGTGCCTCCTGCCCAGCAGGGCCAATGACAGCGCACAAGGAAAGCCGACGACTCCGATCAGCCCAAGCAGCATGCAATCGATGAAGCTCATCTTTCTGCTGGTTTTTGAAAGATGTGCTGAGCGTCTCATTGTTGTCAATCTCAGACTCTTGCGCACGAAGGTGAGCAAGCGTAGCAGAGCGCATGAAATAATGGAAACCAACAAGATCAGTCCATTCCAAATCTTCTGACATAAACTGCTTGAACTCAGGAACAGCATGGCGGGCTTTCCGAATAAGACGAGCTTGGGA